CCAGGTGAAAAACCCACCGTCCGCCTACATCCAGAAGCTGAAGAGCTACTTGGACACGGGTGGCGTAAGCAGGAAGGTGAGGGCTCCCCCTTCCACCCCTTGTCCCCATCCCGGGTCAGGGACGGTGCCAACAGTTCTCCCCGTCCCCCAGTTCAAGAGGCGAGTGCAGGAGTCGACGCAGGTGCTCCGGGAGCTGGAGATTTCCTTGAGGACCAACTACATTGGGTAAGGAAGGGGGACTGGGAGGTGTCCTCGTTGTCACCCGGCTGCTGCTGCTGCTGTCCCCAGCATTGCTGGCACAGGGACTGGTGTGCCAGTGGCTTCTGGCTGTGGGGGTGACAGAGGGATGTGGAGGCTGGTGGCCTCATCCTGCCCCTCTGGGGTGGCTCTGATGGGAGGACGGGGTGGCTGAAGCAGCCGGCCGTGCCATGGGTGCTGTAAGACCTGAACCCCATTTTGGCTCTCTGGTACCCCCTGGGTGCCAGGATGGACCCTGGTCCCCACCCTGGGTGCCCTGGCCCCTTGCGGTGTGGTGGGTGCTGAGCCGTGGGAGTCCATGGTCCTGCCACCCAGGGCCGGGCTGTCTGTCGTGGTGGCAGTAGTGGCAGCGGTGCCAGCGGTGGCAGTGGTGGCAGCGGAGCCCTTGAGCTGTGTCCCCCCGGGCATCAGGAGCAGGGGTCACCATGGCACCCACCTGCCTCGGAGAGGTGCCAGCTCATGGTGCCACCATGACATGCCAGCATGTCCCACCCTCGCTGGGGACCTCTGACCAGGGGGTGGCTCCACTGAGGTTCTGGGGGGGAGAGAAGGGAGGATGAGGAGGGCTGGCGAAGCCCACTAACCCCCTGCACCCCCCAGCTGGGTCCAGGAGTTCCTCAACGAGGAGAACAAGGGGCTGGACGTGCTGCTGGAGTACCTCGCCTTCGCCCAGTGCTCCGTCACGTACGTCCCCACCGGGTGTCCCTTCCCCAAGGCTGGGATCACCCTCCCCTGGGACTCGGAGGGGCTGGGGGAGTCCCTGGGGATGCTCTTCCCCATCATCGGAGTGATGGAGCTAAGGATGCTCCATGGCTGGGGTTGAACAGAGCATCCCCAACACCTCTGTGCCCACGTCCCCAGCCCTGGGGACCCCAGGGGGGTGCCTGCCCGTATCGGGGTGCCACATCTCACCCGTCCCTGCGTCCCCATGGGCCTCCAGGTACGACATGGAGAGCACCGAGAACGGCAGCCCAGGCTCCGACAAGGGCAAGGTCCTGGACCGGTCGCTGGAGGACCTGAGCAAAAGCAACTCCTCATCCCCCACCCAGGGCTCCTCCAAAACACGGCACCTCACCGTCAGGTAACACGTGGTCCTGTGTCCCCCATGTCTCCCATGTCCCCCCTGTCCCCGCGCCGTGTCCCCCCGCTCTCTGCCTCGCTGCACCCCTGGCCGCGCTGTGCTCAGAGAGGGGCAGGGAGACGCAGGCCTGGTCCTAAAAATGGGTCCCCAGTGCTGGTCTGGGGGGGGACAAAGCCATGTCCCCATGTGTTGCACAAGGGATAAACCCTGCCGGGAGCTGGGCTGGATGAGTCCCCCACAGCCCGGTGCCGCGACCGTTGTGGGATGCTCTGGGTAAAACCCATGAATAAACAAAAATTGGAGGTGCTTGAGATTTTGGGGGAGCAAATCGCACCTCCCTGGTTTAAAACCAGGGCAGAGGAACGGGCCTGCGCCCCCGCAGCCGGTCCCGGTGGCCGGTGGCTCTCGCTTGGTGCCTCTCGCCCCCGCAGCCCCCTTCTAACCCCGCTCTTCTCTTGCACGCTGCCGGGGGACGCGCTGACGGTAGGTGATGGGGCCGGGGCGCTGGTGGGACAGGGACACCCCGGCGGGACCCCGCTGCCAGTCACCAGTGTTGGGGACGGTGCCTGCGGGGCATCCCCAGCGGGCAGGGGGGAACCCAGGGGACACCCCACCACGGTCACCCTGGGAGCCGTAACGTGGCACCTCGGGGACCGCGGGGGTCCCTTGCCGCCTGCCAGCAGCTCTGGAGGAGCCGGGGTGTTCCCCCAACCCCAGGGACAGGTCAGGAGTGATGTGGCACCCACAGGGGGTCCCAGCCCTTGTCCCCCACCCGTGTCCCCAAGCCGGGGTGTCCCAGGGGCCACGCGGGAGCCCCGTTTCTCCCTCCCTCCTGTCCTGCAGGCTCTAATGCGCCTCCCCCTGCTGCCTCTCGAACCAGCACATCCACACCCTCCTCCGCCACGTCCACCCCAGCGTCCCCTGCAGCGCCCCAGGCAGTGATGGGGACAGTAGCCCCAGGTCACCCGGCAGCTCCTACCCGCCCCGGTGAGCCTCCGAGACCACTCGTGCGCACGAGGGGCACCCGACCTCCATCCCAGCCCCCATCACCCCACCAGCCCAAGGGCTTGTAGATGGGCATGGACATGGGGGTCTCTCTGATGGGGATGGAACTGCCCGGGTCCCCTGGTGTCCCCCTGTTACTGCTGCCCCCTCCCTGCTTGCCCCTCGCACAGCAGGAAGGCACTGAGGAACTCCCGCCTCGTCAGCCAGAAGGACGACGTCCACGTCTGCATCATGTGTCTCCGTGCCATCATGAACTACCAGGTGGGAGAGGGCAGCGTCCTTGGGGACCCACCTGGGGCTCCCCAAAAGCCTGCGGGGCTGTCTTCGGGGTCTGGGTTTGGGTGGGGTGGGACCCGTTCTCCATCCCCTTGCTCAGATGTCCTCAATCAACCTCACATCTGGTGGGGACGTGGCACGGGGATGTCCCAAGGTCCTGGAGCATCCCTCGGGTGGGGACAGGAGGGTGCATGACCCCATTAATGCTCCTTTTCCCCCCAAGTCTGGCTTCAGTCTGGTAATGAACCACCCAGCCTGCGTCAATGAGATCACCCTGAGCCTCAACAACAAGAACGCCAGGTAGGACCCGTCCCCCGTCCTCCTGTCCCTCCGTCCCCTTGCCCGCCCCATGGCCCTGACCCCCTCGCGCCCCGTGTCTCCGCAGGACCAAGGCGCTGGTGCTGGAGCTGCTGGCCGCCGTCTGCCTGGTCCGAGGTGGCCACGACATCATCCTGGCTGCCTTCGACAACTTCAAGGAGGTGAGTCCCCAGCAGGGACACGTGGTCCCCACGCTGACACCCGTGCTCCGGCTGGGTTCATGCCTCAGTTTCCCTATGTGTGGCAGAGTCCTGCATCATTAGGGCATCCTCCATGCTAAAAATGCCCATCCCATGACTTGCTTGGGGATGCTCCGGCCATTGGGCTTGATGTCCCCATGCCAGCACGTGTCCCCATGGCCACGTCCCAACTGGACCAGGTGCTAGGCAGCACCCGGCAGGGCTGGGACAGTGTCACCAGCGGGTGCCTCCTGCCCCGCTACCCCCCTGGGTGCCCACCCTGGCCATGTCCCTCCTGGCCCTCAGGCCCCTGCTCCCACCCCAGGTCTGCGGAGAGAAGAACCGCTTCGAGAAGCTGATGGAGTATTTCCGAAATGAGGACACCAACATTGACTTCATGGTGAGTGGCTGGCAGGGCTGGTGCTCTGCTGTCCCCAAGGCATCGTGTCCCCAAGGGCTGCTGAGCCACCGTGCTGTCCCCAGGGCATTGTGTCCCCAAGGGCTGCTGGGCCACCGTGCTGTCCCCCAGGAAATCGTGTCCCCAGGGGCTGCTGAGCCACCGTGCTGTCCCCAGGGCATCATGTCCCCAAGAGCTGCTGAGCTGCTGGTCCTTCCCCAGGTCCCCATGTCCCCAGGGCTGTGAAACCACCACGCATCCCCCAGGGGCACCATGTCCCTGAGGGCAACTGATCAACTGCGCAATCCCCGGGGCACTGTGTCCCCAAGGACTACCGGGCCACCGTGCCGTGCCGGTGGCCGCGCTGAGCCTGTGCCCGTCCCGCAGGTGGCCTGCATGCAGTTCATCAACATCGTGGTGCACTCTGTGGAGAATATGAACTTCCGCGTCTTCCTGCAGTACGAGTTCACCCACCTGGGGCTGGACCACTACCTGGAGGTGGGTGATCCTGCACCACCCCGGTGCTGAGCCCTGATGCCGGAGGTGGGTGGGTGCTGGGGGGTTGCCACTGGCCATGACGGTGCCACCGGCTGTCCCATGGCAGAGCCTCCGTCTCACCGAGAGCGACAAGCTGCAGGTGCAGATCCAAGCCTATCTGGACAACGTCTTCGACGTGGGGGCCATGCTGGAGGACTCGGAGACCAAGACGGCTGTGCTGGAGCACATGGAGGAGCTGCAGGAGCACGTCAGCCAGGTGGGACGTGGGTGCGTGGGCAGGAGCTGCTGACGCAAGCCCCGAGGGAGGGACGGGGATGGGGCTGAGCGACGTCGCCTTGTCCCCCGCAGTTGACGGAGAAGCTGCAGGATGCGGAGAACGACTCCATGGCCAAGATAGCGGAGCTGGAGAAGCAGCTAAGCCAGGCGCGGCGGGAGCTGGAGGCGCTGCGGGTGAGCACCCATGGGTGCTACGATGCTGGAGGAAGGGATGGGTGCCGGGGGGACCGGCGTTTAAGGGGTGCAGTGGGACACCAGTGATGTGCCGGGGCTTGTCACCACTGCAGGAGCAGCTGAGCCCACCGCGGCCACCCAGCCCGCCGGCCCCGCAGCCCCAGGAGTGCTACCGGCTGGCGCTGGAGCGGCGGCTGGCGGAGCTGGAGGAGAAGGGGTTGGTGCAGATCCTGCGTGGGCCCGACGGAGACGTCGCCATCGAAATTGTCCCCGTTGTCATAGAAACCCCAGCAGCCCCCGTGTTTACCGGAGAGGCCACCGCCACCACCACTGGCACCGGCACCGGCACAGGTACTACGGGTGTGGGGGGATGGCGGCAGCCCGTGATGTCCCCTTCCCGGTGGGGACACCTGGCACAGAGGAGGGGTGGCAGCGCGGCTCTGGGCAGAGAAACTGAGGCAGGGGCACAGGGATGTGCCCAGGGACGCAGAGTCACTGGGTGGCAGAGGGAACGTGGTGGTGGCACCATGCCCTGCTGTGCCACCATCTCACCCACGTCTTCTTTCCATTGCAGATGCTCCAGCTCCGGCTCCTGCCCTGTCTCCCCCACCAGCACCCGCCGCCGCCCCCCTGC